GTAAGCGAATTGAAATTTTTGAGTTTTTTTGGAGGGTTTTATTTACTACTGCTGTTTTTTTACATTTTCTTTTCTTATTAAACGATATTCTTTATTGTATTTTATTGTTATTCAATGAACAATTATTAATTTCATATTTAAGCATTATTAATAAATAGTTTATAAATAATACGCGTTTCCAACAATACCCTTTTCAACCCTGCCTTTTTATTATTTTTGACATCGAAAAACTAATCAATTAATCTTTTAAATCATAAAAACATATCCAGAATGGTCATTCACGCTGGTTAAATCGTTGATAACATACGAAGGCGTTAGTACTTTTTTTCAATTTTTAAAGTGCAGAAGTACCATGAGTCAACTGTGTTAAAAGATAGTAATTATAATTTTTTTTCTCATTTCAATGGCGCGATTTTAAATGTTTTGACGCTACTTGTTTTATCAACTTGTGCTTTATCTAAACCCTTTTGAGAGACCGGCTCGGATCGTGTTTAGCACAAAAGTTAAAGCATGACTCTGACGAAAAAAAATTAAAGTTGAAACTGTCACTGGATGGCATGGAATTAGATGAACTAGTGAATAGCAATATAGATAAGAACTGTCCTCGATGTGCACTTCAAGCAGAAAACGAAGGGTAACGCCTAAAATATACATTTGAACAGAAACTTAAAAATATGAACATCAGTAAATGTTATGTGGTTATATTTCTGACGATTGTCGCCAATGAACTGGACCTCCAAGGCAAAATTTGTGCAATCGATCCTACACGCTCAACGACCAGGAACAAAATTCAAAAATATATTTTATTAACAGCCAAAATTCTAATAGTTGACAGTTTTTTCTGCACGTTAATCTGTTTTTGTCTATAAAATAATGAGCAGGTCAAAGTTCAAACTAAATTAAGTTAATTAGTGACTTAGCTAGTTATGTAATATAGTTTAAAGTTTAAATACAGCATAGGATAATATATAGAAAATACACAATTTCCCATTTTGCTATAGCGGGTCAATTTATTGTATCGTTTTGTTGAATCGGCCGAACTTCTTCGCTATTAACGTTCTTCTCTATCTAGCGGAGAGCTGTAAAACGTTCTAGTTCTAGCCGGGCGCTATAGGCCTCACTGGTACAACTGTCCCGATCAAATTTGATACTATCAGTTGAACTAGATTCAATTCTAAACTAAATCAAATATTGTGCGTGTAAAGCTCGGTGACAAATTCCTATGATGAGAACGTCCCGGAGAATTCGATTTTGATGAAGCACTCAATTTATAGATATATTTTTTAAATAAAGCGTTAAAGTTTGTCGTTGAAGTCTTGGGTTTGATAACGAAGATAGAGATGCTGCTAAATCAAATTTGACATTTATTATTTTGAAGAAGTTGAAAAATTGTAAAGTTTCTGAATATTAATTATTTGATTCAGGATTCTTCTCAAGCAGAGTTCTTCCTTCGACGTGTCGTCCTGGAGGATTTTAATTGTTGAACGTAATGAAAGTTAATTGCATTGGTTGTCTAATAAATATGGTTATAATTTAATTAAGTAAGTTTTCACGCTTCAGTTCAAAGTGTATTTTACGTGAATGTCACAGTCAACCTGAGCCGCACAAAAAGTCCAGTCCTTTCTCAAGATTAAATTGGTATGTTTGGTTTATTTGGATATTAGATCTGTTGTTACCCACAGTCTCTGTTTGTCCAAATAGATCCAAGAAATGTTTGATAAAGTGTTAATTTCTACACAGCTGTATCTGGTTTCTAGAAGTTTACTTATTTGTACAAGTCATATGTTGTGTTTTTGTCGTTTGGATCTTACATGGGGAATCCAATCTACTGTATACTTAAAGAAAAACAGCTCTCTTTAAAGACATAGAGAAGTTGGAGAATGATACGGCAATGAATGTAATATGAAATCACACGGCTCGGGTCCGACACATCTTTCAAGCCACATCCTCATAAAAACATGTGCAAACTAAATAAATAATAAACTCTATCCAAGCCTACGATCTACTCCATCTAATTTTGTCTGGGACTGACTAAATGCACTAAAAAACCGGGGCTAAAGCTAAAATGTGTCCCAGATCATGAAGGAAATTCAGACAAGGCAGATGACATACTTGCTAAAAAGAGACTTTCGGAACAACCTTCTACTCCCATGTGTCCTGGGACCCAGCAGAGGCTGATTTAATTCTGCGAACCTAATATGTTTAATTTGGTTTTGCAGTTAAGCACCATCCTTGAACTAATGGTATTTGAGCTTATTGCTTTGATGGCTGCTTGGCTATCTGACATGATAGCTATATTCTTGTTTTTGTATCCTCTATTTAGATTGAACTGGATACATCTTTCAATTGCGTGAATCTCAGCTTGAAAGATACTGGTGTGCTTTCCCATGGGTTCTGTGTATTTGGTTCCGGGTCCGAACACTCCTGCCCCCGTACCTTCCTGCGTTCTAGATCCATCTGTGTACCAAAGGATGGTGCCATTTTTGAGGGAGTTATTTCCCTCTCTTTCCCATTCCTTTTTGGTGCCCAGATGTATTCGGAATTTTTGGTTAAATTCAAACTTCCTGTTCATGTCATCTCTTGGAGCCATGAGTGAAGGATGGTTTTTCCACAGTTTGTTTCTGTCTCTCCATTTCAGTTTTATACCTGTTGGAGGTTTCTCTCTAATGAAGTTAATTATAGTTTTTTGTGCTGTCCTTTCTACCATGTGATGTAGGGGGATTAGTCCCACTATCTTTTCCATGCTAATTTTAGGACATGTTCTCATTGCGTCATAAACTATAACCATATTTAAAAACTGGAATCTTGGGTATCTAATGAGCACAATAAATACTTGGAGCGCAAACCAGAAATGAGGCGAGCAAAACGACTATTCGCAAAAACCATGATAATAAAAGGATATCCTACTTAACAGAAAGAATTTCGTCCCCAATATTTTATTACAATCTGCATAGAAAGGAATTAAAAATTTTAATTGGTAATGCTCTAGTTAAGTACCATCTTAAAATAACGGATCTATCAAAAAATGATCAATGTCGATTGCTAAAAGGGTCAAAAGAAAAGAACATATCCTATGCAACTGCACCGTAACAGCTAAGAAAAGACTATGGTACCTAGGAAAACCGTCCTTGAGTTATGTAGATCTTGGTGCCACACCATTACGAAGATTTCATTACTACAGAAAACAAACTAAAATCTTCCAGAAAATTCATTAGCAGAGGGATGACTTCATATGTGGGACTCCTTATTTTCAGGTTCCTGCCAATCTATGACCTATTCTCACCCGGATTAATTTTACTATCTTGGTTCTGCTTTTTTGTGATCAGTTCTGCAGAACGAGGTATCTTCTATTTATATNTATATTTATATATAATTCACCGACGTATCAGCATTATCGTTCCATAGCAATCCTCAGTGACCAGTGAACTACTGACTAGCAATCTTCTATAACTTTTAGAACCTTATAAACTGAGAGATTTTTTCAGTTTCCCAGCTTCCAAAACCTTGAAACCTAAGGAAACACCTGATAATATTTAGGTGCCAGGACACAAAGGAGAAGTGGATAAACTCTAGCAGGCGCTAGACACAGTAAACCGATGATAAAATAACCCTCACCAAGACTGGGGAAACTCACTGCTACAGCTGGAGAGGGCCAGACTCAGAGGAGTGATGATAATAATACTAACAAGTCGCTGGCATCTGAGAAAAAATCTATAGAACATTGGCATATATAACGATGATCCCATTTGCAGATTATGTAGAGGAAGAAGAAACAGCCACTCATATCATCTTAGAATGTGAAGCAACGGCTCAATGGAGACATAACCTAGCATACAGAAAAACCTAGAGAATGAAATTGTAGCAGCAACAGTCAATGACCTAATATTTCTGAGAAGAAGGATTGAGTCAATTGCACTGAACTAGCTAACTATAGGTACAATAAGCCAGAAGGCTGTAGTGCCTGAGGAGCACAAACCCCGCTTCCAAAAACCTCATCACTGTCACCATCTAGTACAGCTCAATTTCAACTTTGCAGTAGTTGTCTTCCTTCTTCCTTGACCATTGCTCTAGGGCTTAGGTAACAGATCCTCACCTACAAGTCTGTTTTTGAACCCATCCCAACACTCAGAGCATTTGGATCTATCTTGAAGGTGCATCCTTTATGACACTACCTTTTTCTGTTGTTTGTTTACATACGTTATAACCCATAAAGGTAAATAATATTGGTTCGACAGGTCTGATGGTACTCAATATTCTGCACATTCCCGTATCGATAGTGTCCTGTATACTTAGCCACTCACGCAAATAAATACATTCGCACAATTTGGTAGTCACCTGGTTTTGATTTCCAAATTAAGAAGGTAATAATATCAATCAGGAATATTTAGCAGCAATAAAATCTTTTATAAAGATAACCAATGATCTACCAAAATTCTAAATAATAAATGTCAACATTTAATTTACTATTATCAGTCATTATCCTGATTATGTATGTTATGTAGTTGCTATATAATAATATTTGTTCTTTGCATATGATACATTCGGAGGAATTTATTTAAGATATCTGGGTGGGAATATATTTGCTTTGTGTCTTAAAAAAAATATTATGCAAATGTTCGTATTGCGTTACCAAAGGTGTGATAAACCACAAGAAAGCTAACCAAGTGACCTATCTTTAGACTAGTTTTTACTCGTTATAATTTTGTAAAAAATCAATTACTTTCAAGACCGTAGAATTTAGGTTTTGCATAGTCTAAATTTTAAAATATGAATTGCTGGAACGTGAAAATAATGTTTATGCATTATTGTGTCACATTGAACAAAATTTACACCTTGAATTTTTTTTTTATGACGAATGAAGACTCTTCTTTCAATTTCTGTCCATTGACAAGTAAAAAGTCCCCACTGAAATCCTGGTCCCCCACCACGAACCAGCTGAACCCGTCCGAGAGGTGTTCAGTCGTTACATAACGCCGGTCATGCACTTCGTCCGGTAGATGCTGCAGGTTTAATTCGCGAAAGGGGTACCACAATGGAGCCGGACACAGTGAAGAAGAAGGTAAGGACTTCTCATTTACCTCACCCGGAATCACCTGGAAAATAGCATCTATGTGAAAAAAGTTTCAACCTAGTCGGTCGAACATTAAACATACCTAGGTACAAATTTGTGCAGAAAATTTTGAATTTGGCCGTTCTTATTTTATAGCCAATTCATTCTCGTTAATCGGACACCCTATCGGTCTATTTTCGGGCATCTGAACCTTGGGCCATGTCTAGTGTATACATTAGATAGGGTGACTGGCCCCCTGAAACTTAAAAAACTACTAATACTTACAATACATTGTTTTAGAACATTAATTATACAAATAAACGGTTTCAAATTTGATACAAGTGAAAAAATATATCTTAAGCTCTTAACTTAATTTTCAAGTCTATTAAAGATGAGATTAGTTGAAGGCGTTTAGCTGAAAATAAGTTTAAATCGTTGCTACTTCTAATTAGTCATACAATGTTCGATATTGTTTGAATATGGGAAGAACTGTTAAGAACAAAAAATTAATTACTATTTATTTTATTTACACAATTCATTCACACTACCGCTAATACACTCGCGCTAATAAATTATATTTACACACATGACACTTAGTTCAGTACAGTGTCCAAACTCTGCCACAGAGTACTCGATGTTGTTAGAAGTGATTTGTTAAAATTTACAGGGTGTCCCAGTTCCTTCCGACGAAACTCAGGGTATCGATTCTACTCTTCGTTTGGAGCAAAAAATGCTCAGGAGAAAATTTTCGGAAAGTTCTCTATTTTGAAGATATTCGTCAATTTAGGTTTTTTCAACTTTTCACTACCTTACCATATAAAAACGCTTACAACTTTCAAAATGTTGAGACTACAACAAATCCAATTACACCATTTGAAAGAACGCTAAATTTGCTGTAAGATACTTCTTTGCAATAATCCGAATGACATAAAATGTTAGCCAATATCAGTTGGAACATGTCAAAATTAAAAAATTTAAAATTTTAGTCATGATTGCACGTTCTTCTGAGGTTACAAAAAATACCTACAACTTGTCAAATTTTACAAAAACTTCTTCATCTAATATGCTTTACGTTGATATATCCAGGTTTTTAAATAACGTTCCAGTAGAGTTGAAAATTAACAATTGAATGTTCGAAAACGTGAGCTAAGGTAAATTTGAAGGGGAGGGAATTTGATTAATTTTCTCCTTAGCATTTTCTGCTCGAAGAGTAGAATCGATTCCCTGAGTTTCGTCAGGAGGAACTGGGATACCCTGTATATAACAAGTTCTACTCACACACACATCAGACTTCATTCACACTACCCCAGAGTACTCGTATTCATCGAAGTAGTTGTGCACGAGCCTCTCCGCTCACGCTAATAAATACATTCGTTCTAATAACATCTATCTACAACATCTATCGCCACCAAGCTGTCTCCCTTCCCAATGGCCTTACCTCCTCCTTCCTCCCTCTAAAATCTGGGGTGCCCCAAGGCTCTAGCATCTCTCCTCTCCTTTTTTCCATTTATATCAATGATCTGCCCGACTCCATCCAGTCCTGTAACTATCACCTATATGCCGATGACTCCCAAATATACATATCCTTCCACCCTACCGATCTTCACTCGGCCACTCTCAAGGTCCAAAAAGACCTAAACTCCATCAACGAATGGACCCATAAAAATTCCCTAGTCCTCAATCCGTCCAAATAATTATCGGGTCCAGGCAACTCCTCAATTCCCTCCCCAGCATCCCACCTCTCATGCTAAATAGCCATCCCATCCCCTTCTGCTCTTCGGTTAAAAACCTAGGAGTAGTCATTGACCAAAACCTTTCCTGGCATTCTCACATTTCCCAAATTTTCCGCCATTCCATTGCCTCTCTCAGCCTGTTTCGTCGGTCCTGGCTTCTCTTACCTTTCTCCACCCGCAAACTCCTTGTATCTTCCCTTATACTTCCCTTCTTCGATTATAGCTGTTTGGCAGACGGTGGTCTCTCGGAGAGGTAGAACGCGCGATTGAAGCGCATTATGAATTGTTGCGTAAGATTTGTGTACGGCACCTCACGGAGATCCCGGGTGTCGGGGTTGTATTCCCAACTTTCCTGGCTATTCCCCTCCTTCCGTGCACAATATTTCCTAGGTTTCTTTTCCAGTCCATCCACACTCGTCGTCCTCCTTACATCATCCAATCCCTCCAATTCAACTCCTCACATCTCACTCGTAAGACCCGCTCATGCCCAATCGATCTTATCCTTCCGCAACATACAACCCATACCTTCGAAAGATCCTTTCTGATCCGAGCCCCTAAACTCTGGAACTCCCTTCCCCTTTCTATTCGTTACGCTGCCTCCTTTTCCTTCTTTAAATCCCACCTCTATAATAAGCAGAGACCTCACGTTAACATTTGTTATTTTTGTTTAATATTCTCGTAATTTTTTCTTCTGTCCTGCCTTATTGGTATACATTGTTCCAAGATTTATATATATATCAAATATTTATCTTGATATATAATTTACGTTTAATTAATATTTATAATTTCTGCCAAATCCAGTGTGGATTCAAAATTCGCACTCACATTTTATTCAGCTGCACAACAGAAAAATGAATCATGGAGAATGAACCGAATTTGTTAACCTACCTATTAAACCTACCTTAACCCTCATCATTAGCTTTTGCTATTGACATGCTTTTAGATTGGATGCACGATTTTTTTTCGTGATCGTTTTTGCTTCATAAATTAAATCGTTACAGGGAGTGCAGTTAGGTTAGGTAAGATTAAGGTTAGTTCAGGTTGGATTTAGTGTTTGAGACGTTTAGATTACATTCCATGATCCATCATTATATGTTCCACAGCCAGAATACATCCACATAAAAAGCTCAATAAAACAATAAATCGTTTTAGACATTCAAGAATTCTCATTAGCTTAAAAGAAAACAAAAAGCACAGAAATTTGACAACGTTATTTATTTTGCATAAAACGTAAATGAATTTAAATTTACCTAGAAATTTCAGAGTTTTCTTATTGATCGTTGCACAGTAGTTTTTTTCCCCAGTTTCTGGTAGAATATTGTCGAAGTCAGCCACGCATTCGAGATAAAACACGGAGAAATCTAAACATAGAGTATAATAATATTACAATCTCCTTTTTCGATAAATAAATAAAACTATATAAATAAATTATGGATCTTTTGTTAACCGACAATAAGAATTCGGCGTTGTCAGCCAAAAAAGAGCAACACATTTTTCTCTCCAAGATTCGATCTATAAGAATTATTTCACAATAAACGTTTCTCTGTGAAAACATTTATCAAACTAAAGATCATGAAAGTATAATGATAAAATGTAGAAATAAAGTATCTCCTGCGATGTACAACATATATTTCCAAACGGTTATTTTATCTGACCTTATCAGTTATGATGTTTGCGGAATTGTATAAACCCAGTAATAACAAGGATCGATTTTTATAACACGAGAAAAAAACATTCACCCAAGAATAAGAACTCGTTTAAATTTTGATGGTTTCTACAGGCTTTTGAAGGGAGAAGTATTGTTTGCCGTTGGTTTTCTTATCTAGAATTAAAAAAACAATACACAAGATCGTATTAAATCAGTTTAGATATATGAAAAACTTAAAAAACAACAAGACGCTTTTAGTAAATTAAGCCATATTATTTGGAAAAAGTCAATTCTGATTATGTATTTATTTTAAGATTTTAAGTACCCTATTCACCCCTCAAAATCTAATTTTTACATAAAAAATAGGCGTTTTTGGACTGGTTTCTGGGATTTACCACAAAAATTCATGACGCTACTGGATTCTATCCAACTTCAGCGTTATTTCGCTTATGGAACCCTCGGAAAGCTTGATTTTAATTTCCCGTTTTTCAATCTTTTGCTAACAAGATTATTTGATAATAAGTGAACAAAAAAAGAATAAATTAAACATAAGATCCTCCAATGTTTCATCTTATATCTCCGGTATTAATTCACTGACGAGATCACCCTTTTGCCATAACATATAGTTAATGAAGTCCTGAACCCCATAAAGGTTCTAGTAGATAGTAAAGTTGGTTCAAAATTGCTACATTTTTTCTGATTATTGTCAAAATTTAACAAAGAAACTTGGGCGCTGTTGGACATTTCAGACTTTCATGTTTCGCACTCGCATAACTTTTGCTTCGTGGGAAAACATTAAATCTTCAATACGTAACCTAACTCATCCCTAACACTAATCCTACCTGACCCACCATAACATGTTTTTAATTCTAACCCTACTGTCATACCTTAACTGGTACCGTCACCGACCATTCCAAACCTGACACAGCCTTGTTTTCCAGGGTATTTAAAATGAATCAAACTTTTTTTAAGCCAAGTTTTTGTTCTACATGACAATTAATTATGGTTTTTAGTTGAGATGAAAAAAAGTTAATGGCACGAGAGGGATGCGAACCTACGACCTTCGGCTAGATACGCCGCTGCTTTACCACCTGAGCCATTGTGACCCCGATCCACTCGGACATCAACTCCCCATCTCAACCCCACCTTATGAGTTTTCCCTCCTTTTGCCATTTTTCAAATGTCGTGTAATCGGTTTGGATTCTCGACGACAATTGAAATGGCGACGGAGAGCTTTAGTGAAGTGTACTTCATTTTTAAATCATTAATTCACTACTTTCGTGATCCGCTTGACCAATTAATACATGACAATTAATTAAGGTTTTTAGTTGAGATGAAAAAAAGATAATGGCACGAGAGGGATACGAACCCACGACCTTCGGTTAGATACGCCGCTGCTCTACCACCTGAGCCATCGTGACCCCGATCCACTCGGACATCAACTCCCCATCTCAACCCCTCTCGTGCTATTAACTTTTTTTCATCTCAACTAAAAACCTTAATTAATTGTCATGTATTAATTGGTCAAGCGGACCACGAAAGTAGTGAATTTTTGTTCTACTTTACTCGAAGAGTTTTGTGCAACTTATCTACATGTAACCTCATTGAATACAATATTGTATATAGTAAAGTACAAAAGTACAAATTGGCTGATATATAGTAAGTAATAACCTTTAAATACATGCACAACAAAGATACAAAAACATGTTTAGAAATTTTTTTAAATTCATTATATTTCGTGGTCCGATTGACCAAATAACTTCTTTCAATTAATTAATATTTATGTAAGGTATTGGTTGAAATGAAAAAGTTAGTATAACGAGCGGGATTCGAACCCACGACCTTGGGCTAAATACGCCGCTCCTCTAACACTCCAGCTAACGTGACTTCGATCCACTCGAACAGCAACTTCCCATCTAAACCCACCTTTACCTTTTTTGCCATGGCATGAAAAATGGCAAAATTAGGGAAAATTCGAAAATTAGGTGTAAGTGGGAAGTTGGTGTCCGAGTGGATCGAAGTCATGATAGCTCAAGTGGTAGAGCAGCGGCGTATTTAGCCGAATGTCGTGGGTTCGAATCCCGCTCGTGACACTAAATTTTTATTTCAACCAATACCTTACATAAAGATTAATTAATTGAAAGAAATTATTTAAATTGTTTACTCGGCTCCTAGGTCTTCTCGGACACTATCCAATATTTTTCGACCTAATATCACCAAAATATGTATGTTGTACTTTCCATAAATGAGCTTGTGTGCATAAAATGTTTATCGATAAATTTCATACAAATAGAAGGTTTTATTTTTATTCTATGCCTTAAGGAAAGGATTTTATTTTTCATTTTATGCTACTACTCATTAAAATAACATTTGCACAATTATCTTTCATTTAACAAAATCTTTAAGAAAAATTCATAACTGATTATCAAGGAAAAACTAGATCTTGCTTTATACAGTGTTAATATGATTTTTTCATCGCGTAGTTTTGGCAGTGTCACTGCTCTGGCTGTTGTCCCAAACTTTTCAACAAAGTAAGAACTTTTGTTTCTTTTTCATCTGCGGACTTGGACAAGGTGCTTCATTCTATTTCCTTATCAATGTGATTAATGTAGTTGGTCTTCTTATTAAGACAGTCACTTATCTTGCACAAAAGATATATTGTTTTGCTCGCAAATTTTAGTTTTATTAATAAATTAAATCATAATTTAGTTAGTTGTTTATTACATTATATTTATATTGACGTTTTTCAAACGTTTTATCGTCTCTCGGCGAATCAAGTTGTACACTTTGCCACGGTAAAGAATTGTAACATTATTGGATTAAAGATTCTATGACGAAGAAAGTTCATAAACTTGCAAATATTTATTACCTTGGCCTAAGGCGAATCCTCTTAAACCTAATTCAGGAATAAATAAGTAAGTATTTTTATCTAGTAGGACTTGTCTTTTGATGGACCAAGTTGTAAATTAGTCTATGAGTCGACAATCGCTCGCTTGGAATAAATCTCTCACGAAGGAAGTTCATACGCGCGTAAATATTTGTCTCCTTGGCCTAAAGCAAAATTCCTCCCAATTCTTGAATAAATATGTACATCTTCTGCTCACAAAGCTCGATAGTCCAATTTGTCGAGATTGGCGTATCGCCGTTTGACCCTCGGCTCGCGATAATATTCTATTTGCCCTTTCTCTGGAGAGAATCCAAACAATTTCGTAATAGGTTTTCAAACCAAAAAAAAATTGCACTCAAAAATCGATCCATCCTTTGAACTTCCGCACGTTAATAATCAAAATGCAATCAAATTTTGCGTGTGATCATGTAGCTAGCGAATGTTTAAAATATCGAATGTAAAGTACTTATGTATTTTAGATGTTGTTTTGATTTTAAAGTTTGGAGACTAGTGAAAAAAGTTTGTTTTTTTCCTGGGCCCCACAAAACAACAAATAGTACTTAAGTCCGTACTGTGCTCCGGTACAAAGAATGACACTCGGATGAAAAGCTAACTTGGGCCACGCAAAATTAAATTCAAAAGAAAATTGATTTTTTGACCAGTGTTGTGTATTTCCATAAAGATTAATTACTTTTATTGTGAAGTAAAGCCGTAATAAACAAGATGTGTCGATTTCCTGGAATTAAGTTATAACTCTAGTTTGCTCTTTTCTCACTGAGCGAAATTAGAGACAATTTTTTTAACAATATGCCGCGGTGGACAAGATCTTTAGAAGTTGTCAAATGGCCGATTTGTCGCCGAGAATCCAATCCGATTACACGACATTGAAAAATGGCAAAAAGAAGGGAAAATTCGAAAGGTGGGGTTGAGATGGGAAGTTAGTGTCCGAGTGGATCGAGGTCACGATAGCTCAAGTGGTAGAGCAGCGGCGGCGTATCTAGCCGAAGGTCAATGGCTCGAATCCCGTTCGTGCCATTGACTTTTTTATCTCAACTAAAAATCTTAATTAATTGTAAAATAAATATAATATCTTCACGGTGGCGTGATGGAGTCTGCGAAAAATACTGCGGCTACGAGAGCACTGAGGTGCGATAGGTGAGAACGCGCGGTTCCTTGGCCTGATATTTGATGAAAAGTTGAGTCGCAGTTACTCATCGAAAGTCCGTTGCAGGACATCCATGGCCTATTTAAATGTGTTGGTCACTTCCAGTGGGGTGCGGATAGAGACAGACTAAAAATGTTCTGCTATGCTCGAGTCTATTTTATGGTTGTATAACCAAAACGCCTCGCAAAGCCCGATAGGCTCTTTGATGTCTTTGTGTGGTCTCCGGAGCTGGGACAGCCTTTGCTGAGAGTTAGATGAGTTAAAGCACATCTGGGAGTGCTACCATCCGAACATCGGAGAGAGCAGCTTACTCTTAGTTATACGGCCAGGTTCTTGGCCAAGAGGGGCCATCCTTTAGTGAACATGATCCTGAGATGTCCTTACAAGGAAGTCTATAACCGATTTCTTACTCGGACGGGACCCCTTGCGATTCGTTCGGCGAATCTTTTGGGCGAGGAAAGACTCTAGGAACGGTACTCGAACCGGGAAACCAGCCGACCTAGGCCGGGTTCTTCTGGCTTTACTTGTCCGATATGATCTGGCGACCCCTGGTCAAAACGATTACACCGCTAAGTAACTCGTATTACGCTCGGACCATCCCGTTGTCCCCTCATTTCACGGGTCTTCTTGGCTCCTACCCCGCATTGCAGTGTGTACCCTGCCGAGCTGTATGCGATCCAGAACGCCCTTGGCCTCGTGCAATCTGGTGTAGTTTTGTAAATATAGATCTTTTGCTTATTGTAGGTAAACCTATTGATGTATGCATACTTCTAAGACCTTGCCACCGCGAAATCATGAGCTGCCATTAGGTTGAAACCTCAATACAAGTACCATGTTCATTAATGTATAATTATATACTAAAACCAATTAACCGAATATAGACTGAGAAACAGTGATCAGTAAAGACAACTCTCGCCGCTTCATGGCATCCTTATTTTGACCTGCAAAAAGTGAAATTTTTTATATTGTATTCCAGATTATTGGACTTTGTCTAATTAAATCAAAGAAAATATGGTTTTATTTACAAATATTTCTATCATCAAATCTCCCCTCTCGCTCTCTCACTCATGCCCTTTCAATCTTAATTTCTCCATGATTTCGATAAGGGAAATTGCAAAAGTGATAACGGACAAAAGTCTGTTGTTCTTAAGGAAAAGGAATTTTCGATTATACCCCCCCTCCCGTTTTTATAAAAACAAAAACGTTGTTGGATAGTCGAAACCCTGAAAATCCTTGCAGTATGTTAATGGGACCCGGATCGAAAAGGTCTTAACTACTCGGAGAGGAGCTAGCAGCCATGGAAGCATGGAAACGATCGGTAGATGAAATATTTCATTTTTAATAGTTGTTAATGTTGACAAATTTAATTTTTAGAAAATCCAGTACAGCTTTAGGGGACTTATTTTCTGAGTCTGTGTATGCGTGTGTGAGTGTACAAGTGTGTATGTTAAAAAATGCCATCCTAAGGTCACATAATATTTAACGTTTCTATTTAGAATATTTATGCATAAAAAATATTAATTTCACGAAAAATTGTAGATGAATAATATTATGTGGCAATACATACGGTTTCTAAAATTTTAATTTACTCAATTGTTAAATTATTTTGTCTAAACCATGGCCAACTGGTTCTTGACGCTTACAAAATTTGTCCTAAGTGTCATAAAATATTTAAATAATTAAATAATGAGAACAGATTAACCCCAATTTAAAATAGGAGTACAAAAGATCTACTTGAGGTCATAACGCAAAGAACATTCTTTTCCCTTATAAGCGAACAGGAATTTATTTTTCCATCATCAGAATCAAATTAATCTTAGTCATTCAATTAATCAAGGTTTTTAGTTGAGATAAAAAAGTCACTGTCATAAGTGGGATTCGAACCCATGACCTTCGGCTAGATACGCCGCTGCTCTACCAGCTATCATGACTTCGATCCACTCGGACACTAACTTCCCATCTCAACCTCACCTTTTGAATTTTCCCTCCTTTTTGCCATTTTTTCTTTTTTTGTATCTCAACTAAAAACCTTAATTAATTGAAAGATAATAATTGGTCGAGCGGACCACGAAAACTAGTGAATTTATCATTAGTCCTAAATAGTATATCCTTTTATATTACAGAGATTAAATCATACCCAGTTAAAATAGAAAAAATTATCAAACAAATATTGATATTAACGAATTGAATTAAAAACAGTAGTTTGAAAAAGTTAGATATATATAAAAACTAGATTATATGTAAAAAATAATGTACAGGGTTCAAAGTTAGTTCACCCTAAAGGCCTTGAAAAAAGATTTTATTTACTTTGAAATATACGCCAGAAATTTACCTGAAGGTGGTGAGGCTCGCTGGTCGAAAGACATGCGTCCTAGGCCGGATATAAATTTTATATCGTTAATTTTTGTTGATTACTGGATATTTTTAAGGAGAATATAAGATATAGCTCAATAAAAAATTAAACTGAGTAAAGCAATTTTACCGAAAATATTCCTGTGGAAAAGATGAAGAAAATATTCATCTCATTACGGGTCCTCTTGCTTAGATCACGGCTTGCAGTCGCATGACATCAATTTTATGAGGTTTTTAATGTAGTGCTGTTGAATATTTTCATCCAACAGCGCCATCCTTAATTCCTGCAAATTCTCTGGCATCACTGGGCGACTTTTACCCTCTTTGACATCTCGTCCCAAAGGCGTTTGATATGGTTTAAGTAGGGACTACATACTGGCCAAACATTGAATTCAAGCCCCTTTCAAGTAGTCAGCAACGATCCTAGCTGCGTGGGGCTTGAATTGTCATGCATAAAAATAAAACAGTCGACAATTAGTGGCATATAAAGAACTTCTTATAACACATCTTCAATGTATCGCGCAGCTGTTAGGTAACCTTCGATGAAGATAAAGTTTGTGCGATCTTCCATTGAAATGCTTGCCAACCATAGCACTACCACCTCGATAGCTTCTCCGGAGTGAAAATGTTGCGGGGATCTCTCTGGTTCTTTTCCAAACCCTCTCTCGGCCGTCAGAAGACCTTAAACAAAATCTTGACTCATCATGATCGAAAACAAGCTTTTAGTCCAATCTTGCTCAGACCTATTGATGTGATTTCTTGCATAACTTAACCGAGATGTCCTCTGCCTTGTCAGAAGTTCTGGACCAGTGACCTTCTCGCACGTAACCCAGTTGCTGAATGTCTTCGCCTTACAGTTCGTAAACTAACGTTAACATTTCTAACTTGTTGAAGTCGTTGCTTGTTCTCAACACCGGTTGAATGACGATTACAGAGTACATTCGAAACAATAAAACGATCGTCTCTCTGAAAAGTGACACGATGGCGATTCGATGCCTTGTTGAGCAACGTCCAGTATCTTGGTACCGATAGAAGACCCTTCGGACAGTTGCTGTACGAACGTTAAGCACCCTGGCCACATACGCTTCACTTCTTCCGTCTTCCAATATTCCTGTGATTCTAGCCGAATCCGTATCACTGAAAACCAAGACTAAAACTAATTTGAAACTCAATGGTACAACTGAAGAAACATAAACCACAGGAACGTTAGAAAGAAACTTTAGAGAAAAACCAACGAAAAAAAGCGAGATTGACTATTCATATTTACAAAATCCACTTGTAAATTCAAGTAGGAGCTTTTATCTGATTTTTAATCTTAATCTCTAATCTTTTTAAAACGGATCAAATATTGTTGTAAGATCATCAATGGAGGATTGTGTAAAAGATTATTAAAAATATTAAGGGTAGCCAATTTTTTTGCCACTCAGTTTTTTTTTAATGAATAATTATTGTAAAATGTACAACTTAAATTTATATTATTCATTTTTTTTGTTTCAGGTGAAGGAGAAGAAGAAGGAGAAGCTAACTAAAAAGCAATGGTTGACACTCATCGCGATAGGCAGTGTTCATTTCTGCGGTGCCATATGCATTTCTCTTCAGGCGCCGTTTTACCCGCAAGAGGTTGTTTTTGTTATTGTTTATTTAAAATTATGTTAAATTTAAAACATTAAAAAAAATTTAGAATATCATTCATAAAAAGTATGTATTTTACAAGAAACGGATTCATCCTTAACTTTTTATTTATGGCTGTTTTATGTTTTTATCGTTCCCATATTAATTCAAAATTATTTATTTACTGTCCATATACATGTATACACATTTTTAAAAGTTAGAAACAAGAGTACCAATAATAATACTTTATCTCTCCACTTAAATAAATAAAGAATATATAATGTTTTACATTTTAATGTTGGGAAAACTGGAGTGCAAAAGCCAACTCTGAGTATCACTTAGTTTTAAGTACTTAATACGTTCTTAATTGTTTTCTGTTTATAAATATTAACACTGCATTGACCTATTCTTCTTATTACTAAATTCTCACTCATTACATTTTTAATGAAAATTTAGTACTCATTTCTTTTATATTATCCTTAATTAATTATTCTTTTTATGTAAGGTCTTAGTTGAGATGAAAAAGTTATAGTCACGAGCGGGATTCGAACTCACGACCTTCGACTGAAAAGCTGCTGCTCTAACCAGTTGAGCGATCGTGACTTCGATAGGACAACAAGCGGCTCGAAGCCGAAGGTCGTGGGTTCGAATCCCGCTCGTGACAATAACTTTTTCATCTCAGCCAAGACCTTATATAAAAAGAATAATTAATTGAAAGAAATAATTTGGTCAATTAGACCACTAAACATAACGGATTATGATTATTTGGACGTCGTGAGATACGGTCTGGTGTGACGTAGGTTTTAGAGAAACATTTTCTTTATCGTGCCAACGTTTCGATCTTTATTGAGATCATCTTCAGGGCCTAGGATTTATAAACATTGTTTAAATTTTACAAATATATGTCGGATGTGAAAAAAAAAATTTTCTTTGTAAAATTTAAACAATGTTTATAAGTCCCAGGCCTGAAGATGATCTCAATAATGATCGAAACGTTGGCATGATAAAGAAAATGTTTTTCTAAAACCTACGTCACACCAGACTGCATCTCACGACCTCCAAATAATCATTAAGTAACGGTCATTAAACACCACACATAATGGATTATCCTTAATGTAAAGTACACTTGTATCATTGTGAAGTTTAATTGTGGGTGTATACCTAGGAGCATCCACGGCCAACCTTCGGAATTTATTTTGCACTTTTTGCAACCTTTTAAAATTAGTTTTACTATTGACGCTCCATGCTGCTGCCGCACATATTAGCCAGTGCTTATTGGTACATTCTTATTAGTACTTTGAACAATAACAGTTTGTCATCAACACTCACGGTTGAATTTCTATTTAATGGAGGAAATAGTTGAAATATTAATCCTCTACATTTATTTACTATGTTGTTGATATGCGGCGTGGAGGTAAGTTGTCTCTCTAAAGTTACCCCCAATTATTTTACTGTGTTTGTCCACTCTATGTTTCGGTTGTCTATTATTAGTTGGTGATGTAGTGTAGGTCGTCTGTTGGTGAACAAAATTTCTTGTGTTTTGTGTATGTTCATTTGTACTTTCCACCTGTGGAAATATTTTAGTATTGTACTCAGTGTCATTCGATTTTCTATAGCGTCTATTCTCGACGATGAGACACGGAGCTGTGTCATCAGCAATAATGGCAACATAATATTTTCTTTTACGGGCATGTCATTTGTGTAAATGGAAAACAAGATTGGACCTAGCACTGAGCCCTGAGTTACACCCGCAGGCAGACTTCTTTTTCAGACTTTTCATTTCCCACATGGACCTGTAAAGTTCTGCCTGCCAAGTATGGTTTCCATAATAAATTATTTAGCTTTTAGCATTGAACTTACTATTCGGTACGACAGTCCTTAGAGCAGGACCTGGACCTCCTCAATAAGTTTTCCCATTCGTTTCGGTTTTCGGTCTTGAGGCGCCATCCCGTTAACCCGTCCAACGAGGATCCTCCTCGATATCGTCCAACTACCTAAGCCGAAGGCATCTTCCCTTCTCTATTTGGGCAACTATATCCGGCTCGCCAAATAATTGCTTTAATTCGTCATTCTTGCGACCATTCGCCGTTTACACACTTCGGGCCGAATATTTTTCTTAGCACTGTTTACTATTAAACACACTATGTTTGTATATAGAAAATTAACTCATTTTTATCCTCAGGCTGAAAAGAAAAATGCTACAGCGACTGAATATGGTCTGGTTTTCGGCAGTTTTGAGTTTATCGCGTTCTTCAGCAGCCCCTTTCTCGGAAAATATGTAAGAACGAAAGTAACTCAGAACTTTAATATTTATTAATTGGTTGTTTTTTTTTCAGATAAATTACATTGGGGTGAAGACAACTCTGAACGCAGGCATGCTTTTGGCGGCAGCCTCCACGATTTCCTTCGGGTAATTTTTCAATTTGACCAAGGAAACCAATTTTTTTTGTATTTCTGATAAATTTTGATTTTGTGGCAAGTTTGCTGGACATGGTCGAATCGCACGACGCCTTCATCGGTTTGTCTTTCTTCCTGCGGATGGCCGAATCGCTAGGTTCCACGGCAGCCCTCGTCTCCGCCTTCTCCATAACCGCCGCAGTGTTTCCCGATAGTATCGCAACAGCTTTTGTAATTTTTTAATTTTAATACTTTCAATTAAATTTAAAATTAGTAACTAAAAAATTTATCTGTTTATTTCAGGCTTCTCTGGAAGTGTTCTACGGCGTCGGGTATATCGTCGGACCTACCCTCGGTGGCCTTTTCTTCTCTGTAATTATTTTCGCCTACTTTTAGTATACAATTACTGCATACCTAATGAAATATTTAGGGCTAGGAAAACAGAATTTTTGTTTATGTAAAAAGTTAAATTGTGAAATTTTCTCAACTGGTCTGTGGTGTGATAGTTTCCATTTATCCTGGGATCTGTCTAGTCTCGCTGTTATTTTTTGCCAGGCACATTTTAGCACTTCGACATTCAAAACCACCGAAATACCAAAGCAGCGAGGATAGGCAGACGATAATATATTTACGCCATATATTGGAAAATTTTCTTATTTGTTATTTAGTGGGGAGGATACAAACTGCCCTTTATCGTAATGGGTATTGCAATGATCTTCGGTAATATTTTCGTTTTCCTCGTTCTTCCCCCTGTGGAAAATAACGTCAGCGATATCAGACAAGGTGATTTAGAAAAATTGCACAAAATAAAACAAAAAACCTCACTCATGGCTATTTTTAGTAAGCACGAAAGGCGTTTTGCGAGTACCCGGCGTGATATTAGATTCGTTGACCGTAGTCTGTACAGCAATAAGCATGGGCTTTATTGCAGCGACACTCGAGCCCCATATTAGAATTGTAAGCACTTCTCTTTTTATTAAAAATTATTTTTAAGAAAAAAATTCTCCATTGTGTTTTGTTTTTTATTCAGTTTGAACTGTCGCCCATCTCGAACGGCCTCATGTTCGTCATCAGCGGCGGGACTTACGCAATCTTCGCCCCGATAGTCGGTAGGATTTGCGATCATTGGGTCTACCCGAAGAGGGTCCTCAGCTTCGGCGCCATCTTCATAGTCTTCAGCTACGTTCTGATCGGACCGCTTCCCTTTGTGGGCATACCAAAGTAAGTTTTCCATTTCCTCCCGACCTCTGGGACTTACTTTAATCAAAATGTGCCGATTTTGTCGCAGGACCTTGGCTGTTTGCATCACCGGCTTGGTAATACACGGATTGGCCTTGTCCGCCCTAATGGTACCCACCTTCATGGATTCCATCTGTTCAGCCGTGTAAGCAAAAATCCGTTGTTGAGAATTACATTTGGTCGTTATATTTCTTTTGTAGAAAAGTTTCATGTGAATGGTACCGTTTTGACCGTTGGGTGAATAGTATTCCCCCGATTTCAGTCGTCTCTTATAGTCTGACAGACAGACCTGTCCACAGATGACCCACTAAATACAGATTGGTACCAAAAACCAATGAACACAGATCGCTACCTCAATTATACATCACACCACAATAATAAACTCGGCTAAAGGATTATTACACAGAATCATATCACTAAGTCATGAATCGTTTCACCTAAAAATATTCAAACATGCAAACAAAACAACAACTACCCTAGAAACATAATTAACAGAATCATAAACAATGATAACCCAGCACTACACAAAACAGCATCATCAACAGTGCACAACACATCATCAACCCAATCACATTATTCCATTCGACCACTCACGGACCCATAAATTGAGTAAATTTCTCTCCTCAGAATGCATTAAAATAGCTTTCAAACATCACAAAGCAGTGCACATACACCTTTTTTTCCCAACACAAACAGCTACAAATCCAATGTAATTTATAAAATTGATTGCACAATCTGTCCAGCTATTGGGCTTGTGAAAAAATTATGCAGGTTTTGAAAAGGCAGCCAGAAATATTCTTAGTTTTTATAAAATAAATAAAATTTATTTGAAATGTTTTTCATCGCAATCTATACATCTTTGCCAACTTGTAATAAGCGCTTTTATATCGCTGGCATAAAAATATTTTCTTTTGACTCACAATAGAGTCTTGAAAGGCGTTTTTAGCTTCACCGCATTCTCTAAAAATTTTATCGTCAATAAGTGATCAAATACTTACAAAAAGTGGAAGTATGTAGGCGAGAGACCGGATAAATACGAAGGGTGCGGTAAGTTTTCATATCCTAGTCCTTAAGTTTCCACAAGAAGAAACAAAAGTGGGCTGAAATGTTAAACACCAGGTATGGAATTTGCCTGTATTTAACCCTTACAATTTGGCACTATTATTTACACAACATGAAAACTATTGCAGCTGATTAGCACTAAAGTAATAGGAAACAAGTTTTTATTTTATGGAAGACATCAACATGAAAGCATCAACAGATGAAATTTTCCTGATGATCACTTTTGATTGTTATACTCAGATTAAGTTATAAGATGGCAAACTTTATTTTGGGACTAAGTCTTCCTGGATAATTGATTTACTAAATCCTGTAAATACGTTTTATTCAGCCTGAAAGGGTTTCAAAGATGTCCAGTTATAGAAACTATACATATAAAGTGAAAATACTCTACTATCAAAATTAAACTAAATAAAAGGACAACTGAAAATATTCCGTTCCAAGTTGTAAGGACAAGAAATAATCAAAGAAACAGGACTTAAAGATTCAAAGGAATGGGGCATCGTATAAATGAGGAAGGGAAGCCCATAGGAAGAACCATACGCAAAAGATTTGTGTTTAGGGAGATAGATGTCACAAGGGTGGAAGTAAGTTTGGCAGAATTGTAGAGGTTATGTACGAAGGTAGAATGAGTAGACATCATTTGATACAGGAAGAACCTAATGAAGTAATACCAGCGATAGGAAGGGTATCATCAATTCAAATCTATGTACAGATCAGTTAGAGGGACCTCATATCAAATAATTCATTAATTGTTTAAGCTTATACTGAAGCATCCAAGTGTTGCAAAGGTTTATATTTGTTAATTTTAAATATTACTTATTTGTAGTGCTGCTGGCTTTCCTGATGATTTGTCCACATACGGGATCATATCTGGATTGTGGTCTTCGTCGTTCGCCTTAGGAGCTTTCATCGGCCCTTCAATCTCCGGATATCTTTTCGACCTTGTCGGATTCCAATATGGCTCGATTTTTGTCATGGTTGTCCATTTTGCACTGGTAAATATAAAACATTCTTCCTTAATTACCTTCGCCATTAATATTGGATTTCTTTTGATTTCAGTTTATCGGCATAACTATTTTCATATCTATGGAGAAGAAGAAGCAGATTGTCCCACCTAAACGCGTCCGCTTGCTTTCCCACGTCCCTGGGAGCTCGTCGGAAGAAGAATATCTCAATCCGAAACTGACCGATACTTGGGAAGCCAAAATCACTTCTGACTGCAAGACCTACAGGTACGGAGCTGTTTCTAGCTTACCGACTTCCGTCTAACCGCTTACCAATTTTGTCAATAACACATTCTTATAACTCATAATGTATTACAATTTGAACAAGCGCGCTTGACATTCTATCTGTGATATTTATTGTCTGCCAAGAAATGTTCATATTTAATGTACATATTTAAACTATTATTATTATAACTGGGAGAACAAAAATAATTCAGAGGAAACCCTCATGACGGTCAAGGACGAGAAGCCACAAAATGCTCAGGAGTATTAATAAAATTACGATTCATTTGGTGTTTCTAGTCTCACTTGTTATTTTTTCAAATCTTTGTTGTTATTGTTTTTTCTTTAAAGAAACAAATAATAAGTGAAATATTTATAAAGTCTGACTGTATATATTTCATTTTTGTACATTAGTAATGTAATATAAGTTGTCAAAAATTATTTTTTAATTATGTTTTTAATAAAGTATGTATTTATGTGATTGCTTGCTTTCCTATTCTGATCACTCTAAATCCTAAGCGTTTCTACTAACTATACTTGGAAAATAATTAGATGGGAAATAAATTAGAACTCAATCAAAAAATAAAAATCTGCAAGAATGGTTTCATTCAATGTGTACAAGAAACACATTTAACATAGTGAGTAAATATCAATTAAACATTATTTTGAACAGTAAATTATTTTATGAAAATTTCATTTCTAACTAATAACTGGGATGATCAAAGGAGGATAGGAAGTGAGGTTTTTGTTCCCAAAGCCTTGCTGCCTTCTGGCTTATGATACTTTATTAGTTCCTTAGTTCAGTCTGTCAACTTTATCCTTCTCTTAAGAAATGCTTGGTCATTGAGTGTCATTGCTACAATTCCTTCCCCTGAGTTTTCTTTTCATCTCAGGTCATGACTTAATTGAGTGATTGCTTCAGATTCAAAGATGGGTGGCTGTTTCTTCCATCTAATTGCATAACCTACAAATGGAGACATCATTGAATACATCCATGTTGTGCAGATGTTTTCTCAGATATCAACGACCAGTTTATTCCTAATAAACTTACCGTGTCAGGCATTTCTAGAGTTTATCCACTTATCCTTTTGACTTTTTTTTATCCATTCTGTGATGGAGAATTCTGTATTTGTTTTTGTTATACCAGTGTAGGTTCAGGGCCTCTATAACGGTCTTGTAGATACTCCTCTGGGCAGTGTCTTTTTCATTACCCAAAATTCCTTTGTGTGACTCATGATTTCAAGTGGTTATGTTGCCTCTGGTTTTAGAAATTTTGGATATATTCACTGAGTAATTTTGACATGATTTTTGCACATGCTATTGCTTTAATAGCTGATTGGATATCTGATCTTATGAGGACTTGTTTGCCAGTGTAACCACTTTTAAGATTTTCTAAGGCATTCACATTTCGCAAAAACACCAAATTACTCTTATACTAGAGCACACAGGGCAGAGAAACAACAAAGAGAATGATAAATTGGCAATGGAAAGTTCAATGAGGACACCTGTTGGCCTGAACTCTTTTGTGACCAACCAAACTTGAAAAACGTGACTATTCATTAAAAATAATTCTTCATTCAATGGGAATTTAGCCCTAAGAATGCAAAACTATACATCAAAGGACCATCGCAGAAACTACCAGCAAGACTAGTAAATCTAGTGTAAGGATAGAATAATACTTGGACTGTTAACTGGACACTGCAGACAAGCCTGTGCAGATTGCCAGGACAAAGAAGAGACAGTGGAATATGTCCCCTGTGGTGCTAAGTTTCCTACTCCTGAGCCTGAAGGAATCATACAGGAGTCCTTCAAAAAGCTTTGGAATCTGGTAAAAAACCTAAAGTTTAATGACTAGCTATTGACAACAATGGAAATGCACAATAGACGGGTCGTAAGGAGACTGACTCCTTTTCTAATCTTAATCACTTGTCCAAGTCTTCTGTTCAGATCTTGTCACTTTAGTATATTATGTGTATTCCTTGTTGTTTCTAGTATATGATGTTCTTGTGAAGATGTCAGTGATTCCTTAGTTGTTGGCATATATATATATTTTTTTTATATTTTTTTTTTTAAGATAAAAGTGATTTGGGTACATTTGTCCTCATTCAATTTCATCAACCATTTTTTGTGTTGAGCTTGGAGTGTACATGGATATTGGTGATAGCTAGAATAGATGCGGGTTCATACATAATATTGCAGTATCATTAGGTTAAAAAGGTGGTGGAATGGATTGGTAACACAGCAGTATAGGACCAAGAATAGGCCCTTGTGGGATGCCAGTGGCTTGAATCTTTTTTATTCACAAGAACTCATTGCTGCACCTCACTCTCGGTTAGGTAGGATTTCACGACTAAGCCATAAGAATTGGGTAGAAACTGTTTTAGTTTGTAGAGAATTCCCAGATGCCAGACTCTGTCATTCTGCTCAATCACTAAATAAAACTAACCATATTCAAGGTTCAAGGAACAATAAGCCAGAAGGCTGCAGTGCCTGGGAGCACAAACCCCGCTTCCTAGTATCCTTATCCTATCTGTGATCAGAGGCAATATTGTAATCAAATGTACTGATATGTGATTACTGCCAGTTGATATGATGATACAGAATGGATGGTGTGTTGTTCTTGTTACACCATCAACCCTGAAATTCACTTTGTTTGAAATGAACACTGAAAAAAAGCTTCAGTTCTGTAAGTAGATTGTGATATTTGTTAACCTTGCAAATGATTAATAATAGTTTAAAAGTCCTGATTAAGGAGATGTATTCCTCAAAAGGTTGACAAAGGAACCGTTTTTTCTTCTTCTTTTAAATTGGCATCAAATTACAAGACAATTCATGAATTAACAATTGTTATCACATGATCATAAAGGTTAACCTTTACATTATTAATTGCTTAAGCTTACATTATAGTAATATCAATTTACATTAGCCAGACTGTTTATGAATATGTTTTACCCTGTTTCAGTGGTTTGAAATAAACAAATCCAGTGACAAAAGATGTAAAAGGGTCATTAGGGTTGATTGGTTTACTGGTTCATAACCTTTTAGACTCAGTACAAATTCATAATAATTAATATAACATATAATGTAAGCTAGAACTGTTTGTTCATATTGCACACTATCGTCCAATTTGTGCAGAGTGTGATTGTAGAATGGTTAGGTCATCTCGAATTTGCAATGCTGTTGGTTCTGGATTTGAGACTCGGCATAACCTATGAAATTGTAATTGAAAATAATATGAAAAAAGTGTTTTAAAGTGGTTTCCAATGAGTAAATGGACGTTAAAACAATAAAGCCTTCCTTGTACTGTAAACTTTTTAGTCATGTTTCATTACATCCTGTAAATACCAAATATGTTTATTTACTTGGTGATATTAGGTTCAAAATCACTAAAAATGATAATAAGAAATTTAAAACTTGGAACTATTATAAAAAAACATGTAATTTACTTCATTAAATCAATAAACATGTTTGCAGCATAATATTATTTTTTTAAATGAGGGTATTTCAACTACGAGGTTATATGAACCCTCGGGATGCCCATGCTTTTGATAAAAAGCCAATTTGTAAGTATCGGGTTCGAACCTGGGACCCTTACCTTACAGTGATGAGCAACTGGTGTGTGTTGCAGCCACCGTTGCCCCAATATAATTCTTTAAATTCAATTTTATTATTTATTGCTGTTGTATTGCAGTTTTATTGTTTTCATAGTGGCTTTAAAATAAAGGTTGTTTTTTGGTACTATTGCTTTTATATAGATTCCTATATAAACTCAATTCCTTTCATATTAAAAGTATTTGGGCAGCTTTTGGGATTAGGGATGTGGTCGAAAAGTAAAATAAGCTTTGAAGTATGGCCAAGCTTTTGACATTTATTGACATGTTATATACTTTTTGGGTGAAGAGAACAGGACAAAAATTGAAGGAGCAACAGTGGGTGCACAAAAAACTGATTACATTAAAATAAAATGAAAATCTACAGGATTGTTTACATCAGTGTAAGCCAGCTTATGTTTAGTTGAATCGCATTTAACTTATTTTTCAGAGGAGCTGGCAAACCGGTGGAGCAAGCGAGGCTGACAATTTCACAAGAGGACCTCGAGAAAACGGCCAAAACCTTAAACGAGTCACTGAATGTCTAAATGTTCCTGGTATCATAAAAATATAGATACATTTTAAAATTTTGTTGTGATTTTATTTTCCCTATCAAAACTCTGAATAACTGTTGATTATCAAATAATTTTAATTTATAATGAATAATGGCTCATGGAACGAATGTTTATATGTTAGATTAAAAACAGCATGGGTTGTAGGCTGAAATTACCTAGTGTCCATTCTAAAATCAAGAAGGCTATAAAGAATGCAACTGAAAAATGATCTCTGAACAGGTGTGGGTGTGTTTACACAACAAGTATAGGCAACCAGAGCCTTCAGGTTAGCCTAATATTATAGGTAAGGTAGCCTAATCAAAAATGTAAATATTACAATTTCATTTGGATAAATCACAAGTATAAAAATAATAATTAAATAAGGGGTAATTTGGCTAATACCTGAAAGATCTTAGCAACAACTGTAGCTGATAACAAAGTGCTCATCCTAAATCACATTTCTATTATTCAAAAATGATCTCTGAACAGGTCTGGATGTGTTTACACAACACAGTACAGGCAACCCGAGCATTCAGGTTAGCTTAATATTATTGGTAAGTGGCATCAAGAAATAACTTTAAACCTAACCAAAAATGTAAATATTACAATTTCATTTGGATATGTTTCAAGTATAAAACTAACAATTAAATGAGGGGTAATTTGGCAAATACAGAAAGATCTGTAGCAACAACTGTAGCTGATAAAAAAGTGATCATCCTAAATCACAATTTCAATGATTCAAAAATGATCTTTGAACAGGCCTGGATGCATTTACACAACACAGTACAGTCAACCAGAGCCTTCAGGTTAGCCTAACATTAGTGGTAAGTGGCATCAAGAAATAATGTTAAACCTAATCAAAAATGGAAATAGTACAATTAGATTTGGATATATTACAAGTATAAAAATATTAATTAAAAGAGGGGTGTTTGGCAAATACAGCAAGATCTGTAGCATCAGCTGCAGCTCGTAAGAAAGTGAACATCCTAAATCACAATTTCAATGATTCAAAAATGATCTCTGAACAGGTATGGATGTGTTTACACAACACAGTACAGTCAACAAGAGCCTTCAGGTTAACCTAATATGATTGGTAAGTGGCATCAAGAAATAATGTTAAACATAATCCAAAATACAATAGAACATTTTTTTTTGATATGCTAAAAGTATAAACATAGTAATTAAAAGAGGGGTAATTTGGAAAATGCAGAAAGATCTGAAACAACAGCTGTAGCTGATAAGAAAGTGAACATACTGTGCGATATTCATGAGAAGAAAAGTGGTCAATACATCAAACTCTTAAAACCATTTTCTCTAATACAGAGCTTTATACATAAATCACTCGGTAACATCAATTTTTAGTCAAAAGCTCATTGCCATGACCTTCCAATAATGCTTTCCATATCCACTACATTCCCTCTCCTTTTCTTAATTCCTTTGACCATTAAATAATATTGATACATTTGCAACAGAAACTCTTGCAATATCCTCTGAAACTGAACTTAACTGAGCTAAGGATTGTACATAGAACCATACAACCATATAATATATAATTTGAAACTAATAAAAGTAAGTAGTGCAATAATTTTATCCTTCGGTATTTATTATTAAAATATTTTTTAATTATTTAAATCAGGCTTATTTGATTGTGAGAATTCTCCACATTGTCTTTCGGATGGACTTGAAATTTTGTCATTCCTGATCATTTCGACCTACTTATTCTCATTGGGTAGGTCTGTCAAATGCATTTCAGTATTTCACCATCTTCAGTGAATCTCTGACACACTGTTTATGTTTGGTGCAACAAGTGTCAACAAATGATTTCCATGACAGCACAAGAAAGAGTAAATAACCTGAATAAATTTTTCAGAGCGATACTCATTGTTATTTAAAAAATATTGATTTCTTTGTTGCTGATTTATTTTTAATAGGGGACATAATGGCTTGTGACATTTGACTGGTTCGGTCTCAAATAATTGAGAAAATGTTGGAAATGTTTTCTTTCAGAAATTGTAATTTCAAAATGGCACACTTCTAAATTCATGATGATACTGAAGGTTCAGAAATTATATCATTCAAGATTTAACATTTTAATTTTTCAAAAAACCTCAGCAAAATTTAAAACGACGTTCATCAGTGTCTTTTATTATGATCTTGGTTTGTGGGTTTTCCTCTTTTGCACTTTGGTCTATGGAAAGCCGTTATCCATGTGAAAATCAACTGCTTACGGGACGTATAAGGAACGAACAGCGAGAACAAACGGACCCAAGAAGATCAATAGAATATACAATGAAATAAACATGCTCTTCCGTACCGAAGACGCACCTGAAAAACCTTTTAAAAAAATCTCATTATCGAGACAGTAACCAGACATTTATAATTTTGTGAGCTTTCTCCATGTCTGCAGGGTAATGTACTGTCAATTGGGCCGTTATAGATAATTTTGGTCTGCCTACCTTAGCTATGTCAGGTTCATGGATACACTAGATGCCGAAACGCTCAGACAGGCCAACTCAACGAGGATAGGCCAGACTAAAATGACTGACGAGCAAATTTCAAATTATAACCTACAAAATGAACTACACACTAATAACAACAACATATTTACTAAGGTCAAAAATGGCAAAACAGCGAAATCAGGCTGACCAGGATGATACAGAACGTTGTTACTAAAACATAAACATTCGTGTCTGAGTTCTTATTTCTAATTTGAATAACTGATTCTGGGTAAGTTAAACAGTACACAAGTATAAAAATAATAATAAAAAGATGCCAATTTAACTAAGATATGCCTGATACCTTTATAATTTTAGCCTTACGTAAAAAATAAGAAAACAAACTAAGCCATGTATTAATTTTGTCTTTGTTTCATTGAACACCTCAAAATTCCGTTTCTTCTTTTACCATCCGACAATTGACGTCTTTGGAGTAAAATAGTTCGCCAAGTGTTAAAGTCTATTTTTTTAATTTCGATAAACGGATTCCCTTTAAGACGTGCCAATGCGATTAGGTCAAGGGGCTTCACTTCTTAAGTAAGTTAGCCTGTGAGGTATATAAAGTCGGACGGCCCCGGTGGCACCTTCGTACCATTGCAGGCCTCTAGCTACACCCGTGGTACCCGACCGAGATAAAAATAGATTGACAAGCGACTTCACACCAAAGGTACTCAACAGATAAGTACTTGTAAATTAGTGATAATCCCTCTTCTGTATATATTTTTTGAACTTTAAAATAACGATTCGATCTAATCAATATTTATGTATACGATAAAAATGAAAGAAAATCCTGCTATCTGAACACTCTCAACTTTTTCATACTGTTTAATCATTCAAAGTTTATTCTTCAAAACGAATCTTTTAAATGTTATCTTCATAAAATCTTTGAAGGTGCAGGACTTGGATGAAGATAACAATCTTCCCTCATCAACAAATGCATCTTCATTGTAAAGTTTAATAGTTGTTTATTTAGAAAACGTCAGATGCGGTCTGGTGTGATGTAGGTTTCAGAAAAACATTTTCTTTATCGTGCCAACGTTTCGATCTTTATTGAGATCATCTTCAGGGCTCGGCACTCTCGACACGACACGCAAGAAGACAAACACTTTGAGCCGTGAAGATGATCTCAATAAAGATCGAAACGTAGGCACGATAAAGAAAATGTTTTTCTAAAACCTACATCACACCAGACCGCATCTCACGATTTCTAAATAAATATCGATTAACGGTCACTAATCATCACACATTTAATAGTTGTGTCAAGTGCATCTGTTTTGAAAAGTCCTATTGAAGTTTTTCCCTGATTGCTTGGATCCCTGCTAACATACTAATTTTACAATGTTAATTTGATTGATATGTACCAAAGGTGGCTTCCGAAAGTGCCAAAAGACTCCTGAGGTGCAAGGAAATAAAACAAGATGTAAAGAGAAGTCACCACAAAATTCTATAGAGAATTAATTGAGATGGCTATAACGGTACCTGACCAAATGAGAAGCCAACTTTGACAGACCTTCCCAAGTGGTCTTCTCAGAGATCAAGAAGAAAGACAAGCCCTAATATGGTACACTGATGAGTCAAAGATGGAAAAGGTAATGGGGTAAAGGGTCCGAAGTACACCCTGGCTTAACCCCTTGGACTGGTTCAAACTATGTTCCAAGTTGAAGTCCATCCAATCCGACAAGGTACACAGGAGTTGATAAAGAAAATGAAAGGAAAAACTGGCTAACTAGCCAAAGAAGGGACAGTCCTCTCAGGCATGGGACTTGAACTAGGCTCACCAGAAAGTGTGCTAAAGTTGAAGCTTGAAAAATATCTTGAGACAGAACAACTCAATCACTGGACAAAAGCAGAAGTAACTAAAAGGTATATAAATCTCCCAAAAAGGAATGGGAAGGTACTCCTCATAATTCATACATAACTTTCGCACAGTCAGGCAGCTATAAAGGCACTAAATACGTATGCTTTTAGCTCCAAACTGTCTAAATTGCTCAATAGCTCTAGGAAAACCTAACACGCTTAGCTTGAGATTTCGGAACATAAAGATATTAGGAGGAAACGGACAGGCTGACCATCTAGGTCCGGAAAGAAGGGCATCCCTTTTGTCCACACACCACCTATTTATAGTTTTCAAAAGTGCGTCCTACTTCCAAGACGGTATGAGCCCATGCGAGAAAGTAATATACATCCAAGCTCATTAGGTTGATGAAAATGACAATGATGGATACATCATGTGTAATTTGAATCCAAGCCGATGTACTCCGTGATTTTAGGACAGATAAAAGTCTGAGGCAGGATGACTCTGTAGCTTCCATGTCCCTATAGTAATCAGGGATTCTGGCAGGAACTGTACTCACCAAATCCATCGAGCTGCTGGCTTATATGGTCGATGTAGACATAGGTCGCACACCCCATAAAGAGTGTTGCTTCACAAGAAGCCTGGGCCTGACCATTAATGAGGAGAAGACGAAATATATGCATGTAGGCAAGTCTATTGAAAGATGGAATAAAAGTGGGCTCTAATATATTTCTGTATGTGTATGTGTTTTTGTCAATTTATTACGAAAAACTTTTTTGAATAAGTTAAGTATTTTATTGAAATTTATCTTCTTTTTTTTGACAGGGGCATCCGACAGCTTGGTCATTTTAACCCCGAAGCAATAGCGAAATACTGCTGCACACTCGATACACAATCACACAAATAAATACATTCATTGATCTCACACATACTGTTTGGTAGATGGAGTACTCGATATTCCTCCATCTACCTATTCCCTATAATAAACTAGACTAGATTGGGGTTGATGGGGTCTTTTTAGAAAATTTCCGCCATGGGCCCAAGTCATACTCACAACCTGAGAGGCGATGGAGAAGCTACTTCCCTATCAGCCCCTCCCCATTCACAACAATAAATACATTCACTCATACAAAACATATTTTGAAGGCTATATACAATAACAAGTCCCCAATTCCCCTAAAGCGGAACAGGAAACCCTGAACTCGCTACCGTGTTCGAGAACTCTTCTTAAATCCGGCGGCATGCCTACACGCTCCCTGTATAGAGCCAGGGCATGACACGCCTCTATTAAGTATTTACATCAATATTTTGTTATATATGTATATGAGTAAGCATCAATGTTGACTATAGTTTTATTTTCATATCGTTCGTTAAGATCTGTGGAGCATTCGACGGGTTGCATTCTTTAAATAATGGGTTTATAATGGCTGTAAATTTTGAAGATTTTATTGTTCGGATCTGATAAAGGATTTTTACATTGGGTGAGATGGGCGTTCCGTCTAGGGTAGGACAAGCGAGCCGAGGCGGACCTTGGACCCGGCAAGGGGCTTATCGAGTTTTCCAATTCGAGCCGGTCATCTGAAGCTATCTGGAAGCCGGGAATGGTCCTGGTCGCGATATTCTGTATATTCCACTACACATGTCGTCATCACGCGGCCCATGTTGTGTGTTACATGTCCGATAACCATACTCGACGGTTAAGTAGCCAATTGTTTTATGATGTTTTTGTCTTCTCCAAAAACCGAAAACGTGGTTTTCAGTTTAAAAACGGCCAGTACGGAGAAACGTGGTTATCGGGCTTGGCACAATGGCTTTACACATTAAACCGTGACCTGCCCGAGTTGCATAACTCCGTCCTTATCGCCTTATCCGCTATCGCTACGATCAAAGCGAATCAGTCGATTCAATCAAAAGGGGAGACGTAAAAATGACGTCTTCCGGCTAAATTTCAAAAACGAGAGTATAAAACACTAATTTAAGAATTAATACGCTTCCCAATTTCCTTTAAATTAGTTTTTGAATCGAATTGAAAGGCTTAGAACGAATTTTGCTGTTTAGTAGTAACAGAGATTAAAATTATGTATAAATAAAAAAACAATGAACGTACTTTTTGGGAAAGTATGAGGACTGTAAAGAGGTTATTTGGCTTGCAGGGCCCAAAAAATGGACATGTCCCCGAGTTTCGCCGCGTACCAGTGGAACGCGAACCCGATGGCCAACAGGACCGTCGTGGACAGCGTACCGCCTGAGATGCTACACCTGGTCGACGCGCACTGGTACCAGTTCCCGCCGATGAACCCTCTATGGCACGGGATCCTCGGTTTCGTGATCGGGGTTCTCGGCGTCATCTCCATCGTCGGCAACGGCATGGTCATTTACATCTTCTCCTCTACCAAGACCTTGAGGACGCCCTCGAATCTGCTGGTAGTCAACCTGGCCTTCTCAGATTTCCTCATGATGACCACGATGTCACCTCCAATGGTCATCTGCTGCTACTATGAGACCTGGGTCTTGGGCCCGCTGCTGTGCGAGCTGTACGGTATGTGCGGCTCTCTCTTCGGCTGCGCGTCCATCTGGACCATGACGATGATCGCTCTCGACCGCTACAACGTCATCGTCAAGGGTATAGCAGCCAAACCGATGACGACCAAGACCGCTCTGTTCAGGATAATCTTCGTATGGGCCTTCTCCCTCATGTGGACATCCTTCCCCTTGTTCGGTTGGAACAGGTAATTGATATACCCTCGATACTTTCACAAAAACGATAAAATCGGAAAACTATTTTCATTCCCAGACACCCTACCTACTATTTCATTTTATTGTTTAGGTATGTCCCTGAAGGAAACATGACAGCCTGCGGGACGGACTACCTCACCAAGGAATGGTTCAGCAGAAGTTACATCCTCATTTACGCTTGCTTCGTCTATTTCATCCCTCTCCTTACCATCATATACTCGTACTTCTTCATTGTCCAGGTAGGCGTCTTCTGGTCAGTGGCCTTCCATAGGACTCACTCGTTTTGTTTCAGGCTGTTTCGGCTCACGAGAAACAGATGCGTGAACAGGCTAAGAAGATGAACGTGGCTTCGCTCAGGTCGTCAGACGCCAACAACACTTCCGCGGAAGCCAAACTGGCCAAAGTCGCTCTTATGACAATTTCGCTCTGGTTCTTCGCCTGGACACCTTACCTAGTCATCAATTTCTCGGGTGTTTTTGAGACGGTCACGATCAGCCCTCTTTTCACTATCTGGGGCTCCCTGTTCGCCAAGGCTAACGCAGTATACAATCCGATCGTCTATGCCATCAGGTAAAAAGAGCACTATTCCAAGTTAATCCAAAAAAAGGGGTAGTCACGTCTACCCAGAAAAGTCGACTTGCTCTCAAAAAGAACTAGGTAATTCTTTTAATTTCTTGTCTCCTTTCTATTTTACAGCCACCCGAAGTACAAATTAGCCCTCCAGAAGAAGTTCCCGAGCTTGTCTTGCGCCGAAGCAAGAGACGACACCACGTCGGTCGCAAGCGGCGTGACGACGGTCACCGAAGAAAAGGCTCCGACAGCGTAAGTCTGCTGGGGTGGAAGCAGCAGCAGCAGCAACGCTCCGCTTCTGGTCTAGCACCATCGCGGAGCACTACAAAAGACAGACCAGATCGCTTCTAACAACCTCGGACTGAACACGGTTTTGTTTTTGTATCAAGCTCTGTATAGAAACAAAAAAAAAACTAGAATAGACGTCAATTGCTTGGGAGGTGGTTCTAAGTTTTATTTTGTATGTGATAATAAAGCCTCCTTACACTGTTGATTTTTTTCAGTCTATTGACATCCATCAGGAGATAATTTAGAGAAAAGATGTGTTTTAATATAAATACTCTGGAAAGAAAGTTTGTGTGTGGTAGATGAACCTACATTGTGAAAAATACTGCAAGAACCGACGGACCCAAATTATTATTTTAAAACCTAGTAAACGTTTTCGTAAATTTTAAAGTGTAGAAGAAATAGTTCTGCATTTTGAGTTGTACTTCCATTCGCACGAATTGTGTTCTGTTAAAGGAACTGAATAAATTTAGATAATATGCAAAGGAGTTAGAAATAGGGCAGCCCGTGAAAATAATTGTAAACAGAAAAAATACACGAGAATTTTTAAAAATTTTGTTCTTTCTTCTCCCCCCCCTGACAATTTTGTTATAAAATAATCAACGGGCGAAAATGTTTTAGGCTTCCGTCCCACATAAGTTCCGGGAAGACAACGTTGCGTTCCGAGCAGGACGACGGACTCAGCGCTACTTAATCTTTCTTGAGTTTGGATCTCCCAGCTCATCAAAAGCCTCCTGGAGCTTTCCTGGGACTTTTCGGCGAGGACGTGTGAAAAGGCAGCCCTATTCAAATTTTGACTTTATTCGTCAATCACGTATGACAACGGAAGAAAAATCACTCGAAAGGGAGAAAAACAGCGTAGAAAATCGAAGAGCTTCAATTTTAAAAATGGGATTCTTCACCGTGCAATTTGCCCGAAATGTGTTACAAATTACAAGAAAATTTAAACCCTGGGAAGTACAGACGGATTTCAATCAATAATTCAGGCATTAATTACAGACGTAATTTTTGAAAGTTTATCAAACTGGCAATGAGTAAAATTTGGAATAGTAAAAAAAGATCAAGCAGGACTTAGAACAACGTAGTTACTACTAGCTATAGTTAGTTCTAAATACGAAAGTACACAAAAAACCAGAAGCAGCGTTTTTTCATAAATTTTGCATATGAGTTAGTACTATAGACCATTTTGGTCAAATTTCCTTACCGCTCACTGATAGCCTAATTAGTTCAAAGTATTGGAAATTTTGGAGTGGTAGTTTGTTAAAAAAGTTACTCCGAATAATGTAGGCCAAATTATATTTTTGTTGGGAAAAAAAACATCGGATTCCTTTAAAACACTCGTTAAAACTAATTAACACGAATTTTTATGGCGACGAAATATACATTTTTGGGGTGGAATAATTAAAGCCCTGAGGCATGTACTCCACCTGTGTCCTTTTGTTCCACATAAAAGTTCCTAACCCCTTAGACCATTGAGCAAATTTAATTTTTGTACATCCGTTAGAATTGGTGTTGCTTTTTCAAAATTATCATCATTTATCATTTAGTTATCATCAAAAACCGAGGTATTCAGAAGGCGAAAAATTTGAAATATAATTTTGATTTTTCCGAAAATTCGTATTCTGAAAAAAAGATTGTCTATTTTTTGGTTGGATTCGCCTGGGGCAATTTTTTTTCTCGCCAATATACTACAGATCCTCTTAAAACTTTATAATACCTCGGAATTTTATCGAAATTCATGATTTTTAAATCCGAGGAAAATCATTGTTTTTGGGATTCTCTATTTTTTGGTTGGATTCGCCTGGGGCATTTTTTTTCTCGCCAATGTCCTACAGTTCCTCTTAAAACTTTATAACACCTCTGAATTTTATCCAAATTCATGATTTTTAAATACGAGGAAAATCGTTGTTTTTGGGATTCTCTATTTTTTGGTTGGATTCGCCTGGGGCATTTTTTTCTCGCCAATGTCCTACAGTTCCTCTTAAAACTTTATAACACCTCTGAATTTTATCCAAATTCAAGATTGTTAAATACGAGGAAAATCATTGTTTTTGGGATTCTCTATTTTTTGGTTGGATTCGCCTGGGGCATTTTTTTTTCTCGCCAATGTCCTACAGTTCCTCTCCAAACTTTATAACCCCTCGGAATTTTATCGAAATTCAAGGTTTTTACATCCGAGGAAATACATTGTTTTGGTGATTTTTAATGTTTTGGTAGGATTCGCCTGGGGTAATTTTTTTCCCGGCGATATCCTCTAGTTCCACTTAAAACTTCATAACACCTCTGTATTTTGTCCAAATTCAAGGTTTTTACATCCGAGGGAAAACATTATTTTTGGGATTCTCTATTTTTTTTTTTTTTCAAATTCAAGGTTTTTACATCCGTTGGAAAGCTGATTTTTTTTCATATCCTATGTCAATCAAATGTTTTATTTTCTATCTCCGGTTCTAATTTATTTATGTAGACCATGTTTGTAATATTAAATTTAGTTTATTGAGTTCTAAATCCCTGTAAACGTTCTTATTCGGCGTTGTCGTTTCAAAGTTATCGTAATTTCTGGGATTTTGACAAAAAATTCTGATTTGTTAGGCGAAAATTTTGAGAAAAACATTTTAATTTTTCGGAAAATTTGTATCTAGTGATTTTTTGAGGTGCAGAAAAAGAATGTAAACTTTTTTATCAATTTGTTTAATCTATTTTGCACAATCACAAAAAAAAAAAATCAATCTGAGGGCGAGCAATTTCGTACCGTTTGACTAATTCACATAATTTATTTTTCTTACGTTTGTTGTGAATTTTTTTCAAGGATTATTATATATCATTTGATTTGTTTCCTTTCTCAGGATAAGAAAATAATATGTTGGATATATATTATATAATATTAAATGATATTAGATATATACAAAGTTACAAAAACGAAAAGAAGCTATAAGTGAAGTAGGCAAACAATTTTTGAAAAAATTCCCATTTAAAACAAATACAACACAGTTTAAAGGCCATGAATGTGAATTTTACGGTAAGCAAAAATGACATTTTGGGGCCCGATTACAACTTGGGATTTTTCACCTGTGTCCAAATTCAAGCTTTTATCATCCACTGGAAAGCTAAATGTTTTTTCTTTTATCCTATGTCAACAACGTATAGATTTTAAATCATTATAAGTGAAATAAATAAGTTTTGTAATTTACCCAGGCCCTGAAGATGACCCGAACAATGGTCGAAACGTCGGCAAGAAAAATGAAAAAGGTGTTTTTCTAAACTACCTCATCCTTGACCACTCCTCACGACTTCAACAAATATGAAATAAATAAAGATGAAATCTTGAAAATATCTTCTCTTTTATCCTGTCATATATTTCAATGAATTGATAGAGCCGTTTTAAAATTATCAGTGTTATCAATTTTTTGAGAAAAAAATCTGATTTTTGGGAGGCGAAACGTTCTTTTTTTTAAAAAAAAACCTTAGGAACTTTGGGGAGACATCTGATTTTAAAACTCGCGCTTCATACTAGGATAATTTCTCCAATTCATATAAAGTATTGTAGATAGGTAAATACATCCCTAACCGTAACCTTTCCTAACCTAACCACAATTCTACCTTTCGAACTGATTCTAACCCTACTTAACCAAACCATGACCTAACCTGACCATAATTCTAACTCTAACCGACCTTACCCTAACTCTTCCTCACCAAACCATGATCTAACATAACCACAATTCTAACTTTAAACGATTTAACCCTACCTAGAGTTCTAGACCCCTTATTCCAGCACCTTTCTTCAGGAACTCTTCCCAAAGATTGTACATGACGCCTAAAGGCAGCTCATGAATTTGCCATATTGCTGGATAGACCCTTTTAACAAACTACCAAAGACCAAAGATATGTATATATGCTTAATCACTCAAATGCTACTCCCCCAAAAAATATTTATAAAAAAAAGGATGATTGGATATTGAAGCAACATTGGGTCTAACGATTTTTTATTGAATCATGAGTACAATTAGACAATTGCAGGACTGTCTTTTACTTGGTTAATAGTTTCACGATAAGCTAATTGCCCCTTGGGTGAGTTTATCGGTCATTGCTGTCCCTAGAAAGCCCGAAGCTTCGGTGGCTTCACGCGTCGAAAGCCGGGGGAGCCGCATAACGCTCATAAATATGTAAATAGTGATAAGGGAACAGCCTTCGGCGATAAGAACCGATAAGTGGCTAGCGCGTCAATCATGCTCCTTATCGGACTTTAATTAAGGCCCCGGCCATTCCGGCACAAGTCCTCGGAGACTCAACACAGACAAAGTTAACACACACACACAAAAAATATAACATAAAGAATTTTCCCCGTCCCTGTGCCAAGAAATGTTTTTTCCACAGGGAAAACGAGTGGAAAATTGTGGCAGGACGTCAACTCGTTTCGCATGGATTTGTTTAGGTTTGGATTTTATTTTATCCTCGTTTTATTCACTTATGGAGATCTTACAATGCGATCTAGTTAGAAGTAGAAAATAAAATAAACCTACAAAATATTGCATCTTCTGGGAAAAAGATGAACTACCACGAATAAATCAATATGATAAAATTTAAAAAAAAGCAGAAAATAAAACGTCTTCAGACAATAGCGATCGCTTGGATTTTCTAATTATTTTCTCCCGATACTTGTTAAAAATTTATTAGCGTAAATGAGTAGATAATTTTTAACGTTATCGTCTTCACTTCTTCAAAATAAAAGTCTGAACAAAACGGACAAACCAGTGCAAAATTATGAAATCGAGTAAAAATTAATTTAGCTGTGAGATATTTTGACTCTTGGGTCTTTATTTTTGGTTTAATGGGGTGATTAACCTCGTAGTTCGGTCGTTTGCGTTCATCTTGACCTGGCTATCTACGCAATTGGAAATTTTTTATTAAACGCTTTTCTGATTCCTCTTAAAAAAGAAGAAAATAATAGTACTTTTTTGCCTACATGGAATACTTAATTTCAAGTTAATCATAAACAAATTTAGCTATTGAAAAGAAGGGTAAATTTAAGAGGTTTCCAAACAAAAACAGAAAACAATCATAGAAATAGACAGAACAGACTTCGCATCCTCAAACTAACTCACAATCGATTTAAACACTCTAAGCAATGAATTTTAAGTTATGAAAGGCTTAAAAGCTTAAATATCGGCGGAATCCATAGTTTAAATTACAATATCACAATTTGTAGAAAAA